CCCCCCCCCCCGCCTTCCGCCAGACGAGCAGGTCACCCCCGAGTACCGGGCCCAGCTGCTGGAGCGCCTGAAGGCCACGCAGATGCGCCGCGAGGTCATCCTCTCCGAGTGCTTTGAGGCTCTGTCCGACCTCGCGGAGCAAGAATCGACGGCTGGAGCCCCGGCCGGCGGTCCGGCCACCGAGGCCCGGCCCCTGCAATTGAGCCTTTCAAAGCGAGCGCTGGCCGTGGCCCAGCACCGGGCGACGGACTTGCGCCTGACGGCCGACCGCCTGTCAGCCGAGGCGGCCCGGCACGCGCGACGCCTAGAGCGCCTGACGGCCGAGCACCAAACGGCCTTTGGTGCTCCACTAGCCGAGGTATGTGTGTGGATCCTCCTTTTTTTTTCCCGCCCCCCCCCGTCCCCCGTCCTCCGAGACACGCACATCTATGTGTCTGGTGGCCGGGCCGCTGCCTGCGGAATGGCCCGTCTCCTGGCCGGATACTAACACGCAGCAATGCAGCTGGAGGCGCGGCGCGACAATTTGCGCGCCGAAATGTCCCGCGAAGAGCTTCGCTTTTTCCCCCCCGGTACGGTGTAGCCCTCCATGTGCAGCTTTCTTTCTGCGCCGCCCCCTCCTGCCGGGCTGGTCCTGACTTCGGCCGCCGGACGTCCGGGCGATGCTTCGAAGAATTTTGCCGGCAGCTCGGCTTCGAATCGGTCGGCGACCTGGACCGTGCGCAGGCCCTGGCCACGGCGCGGAGCGTCGACGCGCGGGCCTCCTTCGAGCGGGTCAAGGAGAACCTTGAGACCCTCCTGTCGGCCGAGGAGGCCGCCGCACAGCGGGCTCGCCAGGCGGCCGACGCTCTGCGCCAGGAGTATCGTGCGGCCAAGGGCGCCGTTCGCGCCCAGCAGGAGGCCGTCGCGGAGGGGGGCTCCCTGCACCGGGCAATCCTTCAGGCGACGGCCGAAAGCCGAGAGGCCGATCGCGAGGCAGCCGACCTGGCGGCCGCCCTGGAGGCGGCCGACGCCCAGGCGACCGAAGCCGCTGCCGAGGCCCTGGCCCAAGACGCTCTGGCCTCGGTGACGATCCTCATGTCGGCAGCGGTGCGTCCTGACGCGGCACATGCCGCTCCGTCCCCGCGCCCCCCTTTGGCTGGGCCTTTCCCAACCTTGTCATCCCGGGTGTCTATCTTCTAAGACCATTCTCCTCTCCGCGCTGATCCCCACCGCATGACCTAGGACTCCTCCCTGCGGCGGGCACGTCTCCAGCTGTACTCGCTGCTCCGCAAGTGTCGGCTGGAGAATGTCGACATCCCGCTCACCGATCCGAGTCGCATGGACTTCGACTCGTCACAGGTTCCCCCCCCCCCCCCCTGCTCCTCGACAAGCGGGCCACTCGTCCGTCCCTTGTTGCCTGCCGTTTGGCGTCCTGCTGCCTGTCGGCGCCTCAAACTAACCGGCCATGCTCGCCCTCGCACCCGCCCTTCCCCCTCCCGGGCAATCGGCAGTTGATCCCCGATGACACGGTCCTCGAGGCGGCTTGTTCAGGACTGGAGGTCAGCCCTGCCCTCCAGCCAGACGAGGGGTTCTCGGCGGCCGCACTGCAGCGTGAGCTCCTGGACCTGGACCAGCGCATCGAGTCTTCCGGTGGCGC